TGCCAGTTTACGAGGAAACGAGAGTGGGTAATGGTGGGGGCGTTCCTGGGTCTGATTAAGGGACCTGACATCAGGATAGCAGGGGCTTGAAGAGAGCCACTCCATCGCCTCTCCTTCTCCAACCCCCCCGCCTACTTCCACTCCACCCCATCCTAGCTGTCAACTCCCATTGCTCCCCCCTTAGCCAGTGACCCCTTCTGACCGTGACTCACTCGCTCCCCCCGCGCTGGCTCCCTCACTGACCCTAGGCCTCTGGTGAATGCAAAGACAGCAGCTCACATCCTCTCTTCCAGAGGCGCGGACACTGATGAGGAGAGCTGCCTGCTTCTGATTGGCTGGAAGCTGTTGGGGATGGATGTGGGGTTGGGGAGTGGTGGGGGGGGAGCAGGTAGGTGGGGCAAAGTTTCACGCCTTCAGGGTGTCCTGAAGAGGACCCAGCTGGTGACTATTTCAATGCCTGACTGGAACATCTTCCCCATTGGGCTCCCATCATTTCAGTGAGACCACCATGAGCCTGAATGAGTGGAATCTCAATGAACAAAAGAGACAAACAGAAATAGAAGGTTGTTGTCGTAGGATAAGATAAAGTAGAGTGGGGTGGTCTTGGTGAAGAACAAGCATTGTCGTTGATTAAATGGCTGGTTTGTAGTTATTTTAACCAGCCTGTTTGCACATATGATAACATGCTTGGTGGGACTTGAACTGGAAGCATCAGGACCAGAGGAAAGGACACTACCACTGAGCCACAAATGATGACCAATGGTTAGTCCATTTATTGTATATCAGATGTAAACAACGTGACTAAATCCGATGATCTGGGTCATTGTTGCATTGCTGCCTGTGGAATCTCACTGTGTAGAAACTAGTTGCTGAGTAGACTAACTTACAACAGTGACTGCCCATTCAAAAATAATTCAATGGCTGTAAGGACTTTGGGGCAGTGGTTGTATCACTGGGAGGATGTGATGAGGTTTGGGGGGGCGCAGGGGGAGGCGTTGGTTTCAGATGAATGGTGCTGCCATACATCTTAACAACTGGCACAGTCTCGTCTGTTTCTGTCCCAGGATTGTGTGGCAAATCTCCATCATCTCACTTCCAAACGGAGATCATCCAAGTTGTTCACATTCCCGCGGCTGGGTCAGGGCATAGGGGGCTTACAGACCGAGCAGGATGATGGTTGTTAGCCCCAGTTCTCACCTCAGGTTCTGCCGTTAGGTCAATTGCCCATTTGGATTCCTCAGCTGGACATCAAAGATGACTAGCCCCTGAAAGATCTCCTGGTGCCTGGTCAACAATACCCTCCCAGCAGAAAACATCATCAAATAATGATCGCCCATCTAACGGGCATTTTTCTGACTTATTTCTTCTCTCACGGGACGTGGGCATCTTTGGCCATGGCTACACAGAGTGAAAATCCACTAAAAATAATCGTTCTTGGAAATGAATGTATAAAACATACTAGAACTAGATACTGAAGTAAACAAGACTTTCATTTGTCAATTTTTTTCCATTTTTACCTTCTTGATAATTGTCCTGGAGAAGGTGGTAGTGAGCCACCTTCTTAAACTATGTGGGTTGGGATACCCAAATGTCCTTAGGGAAGGAATTCCAGGATTTTGACCCAGCGACACTGAAGGAACAGCAATGTATTTCCAAATCAGGATGGTGAGTGGCTTGGAGGGGAACTTGCAGGGGATGGTGTTCCTATGTATCTTGTCCTTCTGGATGGAAAAAGCCAAAGTTTTGTAACATGCTGCCCAAAATCTTGATGAGTTGTCAGGTTCATCTTGTAAGCGACTTACAATGCTGCCATTGTGTATCAGCAATGAGGAGCATGAAGGTTTAAGGTGCTGGGTGTTAATCTGCAGCTTACTTTGTCCTGGATGGTGTCAAGCTTCTTGAGTGTTGTTGGAGCTGCACCCATCAAGGCAAGTGGGGAGTATCCCATCACACTCCTGACTTAGAGTCATAGAGTCATACAGCATGGAAACGTGCCCTTTGGACCAACCAGTCCATGCCGACCATGGTCCCAATCTAAACTAGTCCCACCTGCCTGCTCCTGGTCCATATCCTTCCAAATCTTTCCTATTCATGTACCTATCGAAATGTCTTTTAAATATTGTAACTGTACCCCCATCCACCACTTCCTGTGGCAGCTCATTCCACACATGAACCACTCCTTGTGTCAAAAGGTTGTCCCTAATGTTCTTTTTAAATCTTTCTCCTCTCACCTTAAAAATATGCCCCCTAGTTTTGAGATGCCTCACCCTAAGGAAAAGACCTTTGCTGTTCACCTTATTGATCCCCCTCATGATTTAATAAACCTCTATAAGGTCAACACCCAACCTCCCATGCTCCGGCGAAAGAAGTCCCAGCCAATCCAACGTCTCCTTATAACTCAAACCCTTCATTTCTGGCAATGTCCTGGTAAATCTTTTCTGAACCGTCTCCAATTTCATAATATCCTTCCTACAGCAGGGGGACCAGAACTGTACATAGTACTCCAGAAGAGGCCTCACCAACGTCCTGAATAAGCTCAACATGACATCCCAACTCCTACTCAATGGCCTGACAAATGAAGGCAGTATGATAAGTTCCTCTTAACCACCCTATCTACATTTGAAGCAAATTTCAAAGAGCTATGTACTTGAACCAGTAGGTCTCTCTATTCTACAACACTACCCAAGGCCCTACCATTAATTGTACAAGTCCTGCCCTTATTTGTTTTACATAAATGCAATATTTGTGCCTTGTTCATGGTGGACAGGCTTTGGGGAGTCATGAGATGAGTTGCATGCTACAGAATTCCCAGCTTCTGACCAGTTGTTGTTGCCACAGCATTGAAATGATGAGTTTAATTCAGTTTCTTGTCAGGTGTAGCTCCCAGGATGTTGATAGTGGGGGCGTTCTGTGATGGCAAAGGCATTGCGGGTCATGGGTCAACGGTTCGATTCTAACTTGCTGAAGATGGTGTGGCACAAATGTTACCTGCCACTTATCATTCCAAGCCTGGATGTTGTCCCCAAGTCTTGCTCCATATGGACACAGACTGCTTCAGTAGCTGAGGAGACTTAAATGGTGCTGAATATTATGCAATCATCAGCGAGTATCTCCACTTACTGAGCTTAGTTAACCATCATGGTACAGCAACATGGTTAGACACAAGAAGGAACGCTCAATTGGCTTCCATTTGACATAATAGCTCCCGAGATGACTAGGAATAAGCCACATCTCGGAGATAGGGCATGTATACTCACACAACATTTCCATGAAGCTGCCTTCCCTTCTAATAACCAATCAGTCTCCTGTGTTCTATAAAGTTATCAGAAGCAAATGACAAGTTGCTGATAAGTTTATAGACTTTAGATAAGAGTTCCTCTTTTGAACTGCCCACGGTTGTAACCTTGGTGCTCAGGAAAACTGGGCAGTGCCAGGAATCAATACACAGCGTGTGTAACAAATAGGTTGGTTGGAATGTCCTGGCCTGGGGCAGTCAGCACCTTTCTGCTGACAGAATCCACAACAGGTTTTCAAGACTTCAGGCACCTTTACATTGTAGAGACCATCCAGCAGGACAGCTGCAGTATCCAGGGAGGAATTGCCACCTCTGGTTGGATATATACCATGACAATCGTTGTGTATATCCTTCCCATCTCCGGCCACATGCCAAATAATCCTCTGACTCCAATCCTTTTATTACCTTTCAAAATAAAAAGGGTAAAATCATAGTCCTACCAGACCACAGGGCTGCTTTTTCATGAGACAGAGTCACCTGGTGATGGTTTAACCTGAGGGTCGCCATGCCTCGGACGAGGGGAGAGGTTGAAAAGGAAAGTCCTTCATGCTAACCTAAGTTGTTGGCAGGAACTGAACCCACTCTGTTGGCGTCACTCTGCATCATAAACCAGCCGAGCTAACAAAACCCCAACTTTGTGCATATTCATTCATGGAATGAGTGCGTTGCTGGCTAGGCCAGAATTTATTACCTGTTCCTAAATGCCCAGGGGGCAGTTAAATGCCATGTACATTGCTGTGAAGTCACGTGTAGGCCAGACCCAGGCCCTAACGGCTAGTAAGTGGATTTTCTTTTGTGTTAATCAGTAGTGGCTGACATGAAGCCACCTTTCACACTTAACGCTCCAGACTTTTAATTTAAAATCAAATTCAGATTTGAGATTTGACATTTGAACCTATGCCCCAGAACTGGGGGCATTCCTGGATTATAGCCCAGTGATGTTACCATAACTGTAGTAACTTCCCTACCGAATGAGAAAAGTGGTGGAAATAAGCAAGGAAAGAAGTCATTTATCTCACGCTCTGGCGATTAATTTCCCAGATGTTGCTCACAGCAGTTTCCTGGAGATTAACCTTTAATCCCTGGAGATTCCAGGGGCAATCCCTGAAGGACTGACGGCATTGTGATCGACAACCCAATTTATATTTAGAAAACATCTCTCTCCTGGCAAAACGTACCAAGACTCTTGTTAGAATGGCAGGCTGGCACTTTCGCTGCCAGGGTCATGAGATTAGTTCTTGGGAATCGCCCCCAATTTACACAGTACACCGGCTCCCCCATTTAATGGGGTTTTTCTCCTTTTAATTCTTTCTACTCTCCCCTTTCCCACTTTTCACCCTGCATCTCTGTGGTGTAGTCAGGGAAACAGCCTCCTAAATGATAATTCAGTGACATTGTGGGGTCTAGTTAATAGAGCTTACATTTGTCCTTGGGATGAAGGAAGTGGCATCTCTTTGGTGGCAAATTAATAAAGTGGGTACTGACAGGGTTAATACGTTGGTAGAAGGAGCTGTTCTGTGACACATTGGATGATATGGCACAACCCACAACGACCAGTCAACATGTCAGTCCATTCAGTGTCTGTGCCCCTCCTCCTCTTCCTATGGAGAGAGTTTCGCTGCACTGCCCGTGTAGTCACCGCAGTCAGATTCAAAGCCCATTTATGTTATCGGGGCATTCCTGCGCTTGAGTGGAACTGGGAATTTAGTGTGTCTGCTATGTTACCAAACCTGGACACTGAATCCAACTTTTTGTACGTACAGCAATCGGAATCAAACCAAATGTTGCTACAGAGTGAGTACAGTGAAGCCTACACTTCTTTATCTTTGCTAAGCTGAGTTTTCAGTTTGTAGGTATGCTTTACACCGATCAATCGCAAATCCATTCATTCCTCCTCGCCTTTTCGCTTTCTAAGGGGACAACTTTAAATCAGAGCTGAGCGATCTGTGGGACTTTAGAGGAACACACAGAATGAGTCTGTCACTAGATTCCTGTTAGCACTGACTTATTGTCACTGAATGCTGTAAACTTGAATGTTCTGCCTTGATAGAGCTTTTCTCACTTTTCAGAAGTAAGACTGGTTATTGGAAGCGCTGGGAAGACTCTGCAAGTGTCAGAAGTTACAGGAGCTGCTCAGACAATGGATCGTAGTATTGTCATAGTTCAGAAAGAGACCATTCAGCTCATGCTGTCTGAGCCTTTTAACTTAGTACCAATTTCCTGCCTTTTCCCCATAACCCTGCGCATTGTTTCGATTTAAATTACCATCCAATGCCCCTCTGGAATGCCTGGGTTGAACCTGCCTCCACCACATTTCCAGGCAGTGCATTCCAGCCCCTAACTGCTTGCTGAGTGATTTAATTCTCTCTCTCCCTGCATTCGTTTCTTTTGGAAAACACTTTTTATGAGTTTGTGCCCTCTGGTTCTTGATCCGTTTATGAACGGGAGCAGTTTATCTGCGTCCAGATCCCTGGATCGATCTGCAGTGACAGTATCTGTCATTCTGAAATACAATCCTTTTGTAGCACGACAACTCAACATTCTGGGCAGCTCTGCTGTTGTCTCTAAATATATTTGCACTTTTCAGGAGGAGCCTGTCGCATTTTGTTTCTTTAGTTTGCTTCAGTCAAGAGCACAAAGAGAGACAAACCTCCACCCAAACTCCCTTCTCCCTCTCCCCAAGAAATATATGCTTTATACCCATTTCTGAGCCCTGTAACGTCAAAGTCAACAGGGAATTGTCCAAGTAACCTGACATGTAGAACCTTGCTTGTAGACGCTGGACATTGAGTCACCTGCGTATTGAATTGCGTGTTGTTTTCTCTGTTTAGCCCTCTGTTCCCACAAATGTGGAAGTTGAAAGACTTCATAACATCAAGGAGATGGTAATACCAGACATAATTACACAGTTGACAGTATGTTTTGGATAAGAGTCAATTAAATGCCAATTAGTAGTTGATTAATATTGATGCCACATGCATCTGCCCACTGTCTCGACAACCACATGGGTCACATGCTGGGCACCCAACCAATCCTTTGGCCCATTTGGTTCCCCCATCTGCACCCTGGATGGCCTCAGCTCTCAGATGCTGGACTGAGTACAGATTCACATTGGCAGGAAGAATAGAGAAGCTGAATATTATTTAAATGTAGAAAGCAACAGCAAGGGTTCAAGAAAGATTTACAAGGATGTTACCAGGGTTGGAGGGTTTGAGCAATAGGGAGAGGCTGAATAGGCTAGGGCTATTTTCCATGGAGCATCAGCGGCTGAGGGGTGACCTTATAGAGGTTTATAAAATCATGAAGGGGCATGTATAGGGTGAATATTCCCCAGCGTAGGAGAGTCTGAAACTGGAGAGCATATGTTTATAAGGTGAAAGGAGGAAGATTTAAAAGGGACGTAAGGGGTAACCTTTTCACACAGAGGGTGGTGCGTGTATGGAATGAGCTGCCAGAGGAAGTGGTCGAGGCTGGAACAATTACAACATTTAAAATGCATCTGGATGGGTACATGAAAAGGAAGGGGTTAGAGGGACATGGACCAAATGCTGGCAAATGGGACTAGATGAATTTAGGATATCTGGTTGGCACGGATAAGTCGGAGCGAAGGGTCTGTTTCCGTGCTGTACATCTCTATGACTCTATAACTCGATAAGAGATTTGGGGGTCCTCATGCATGAATGACAAAAAACTAACATCCCAGTTCTACAAGTGATAGGGAAGGCAAATGGAATGTGGCTTTTATTTCAAAGGCAATGGAATGTAGAAGAAACAGTTTTAGGTCACTTATCCAAGGAGAGATAAACTGGCCTTGGAGGCAGTCTAAAGAAAGTTCACTCAGTTGATCCTGAAGGGACTGTTTCATGATGAGAAGTTGAATAGCTAGGGTCTGTACTTATGGGAGCTTAAAAGAATGAGAGGTGACGTTATTGAAGCATTCATGATTCTTAAGGGCAAAAATAGAATGTGCCAGAGAAACTCAGTAGGTCTGACAGCATCTGTAGAGAGAAAAACAGAGTTAACATTTCAAGTCCAAAGACCCTCTGTTCTTTGTGGTTCTGATGAGGGGCCACTGGACTCAAAACTTTAACTCTTGTTCTTCTCTCCACAAATGCTGCCAGATCTGCTGAGTTTCTCCAGCAATTTCTGTTTTTGTTTCAGATTTCCCACATCTATGGTTCTTTGTTTTGTTTAACATTCTGAGGGGGATCGGCAGGGTGGATGCGGGAAAGTTGTTTCCCCTTGCAGGAGAGTCTAGAGCCAGAGAGCATCATCTTGGAATAAGGGTCGCACATTCAAGAGAGAGATGAGGAGGAATTTCCTCTCAGAGGGTAGTGAAAGTGTGGAATTCTTTATTGCAGAGATCTCGGTCAGAGTCAAGGCTGGGATTTTCAGTCAGGAAGTAAACCAGGGGAAAAGACAGGAAACTGAAGTTGAGGATTATCAGATCAGCCATGATCTGATTGAATGGAAGCAGGCCCAATGGGCTGAATGGCCTACTTCTGTTCCTATGTCTAATGGTCCATCTGATGCATGCACCTGGAAGTTGATCTCCTCTGTCCTAATGAAACAAGAAAGTGTGTAACCATGACACTGCACAGCTCTGATTCATAATAACCCCCTTCATTTCACAAGCAGAACCTACACCAGTAATTTTTAATTTGGATGAAAGAACCTGAGGCCTCTCAGATAATGAGACATATTATTGGATATTTCCTCTTGCGAATGTTCCAGCTCACGTGTGCAGCTGTGAGCAAGTGTGAGGTAGAGCTGTCTTATAAGCACCGAAATGAAACTAAATGAAAGTGGGCAATGCTTCCTTAGCGCAGACTGATGGCATGAAGCAGATGATAATGAGGAGCACAGGGTTAAGAGGAGGCCATTCTGCCCTTCAGATGTGTTTTATCATTGAATCAGATCATGGCTGATCTGCATCTTAATTTCATTTTTTTTCTCATTCATTCATGAGGTTAGTACATCGCATTTTGGGCAAGAATTTATTGCCTATCCCTAGCTGCCTTTCCGCTGTAACTGTTAATACCCTTGTCTGACAAACATCTATCAGCCTCAGTCTTGATATCTTCAGTTGCCTCTCAGTCTCACAAGCTTTCTGGGGGACAGATTATTAGGTCCTTACTGCATTCTGTGTGAAACATTGGCTCTGGGCATCACCCCAGTATGGCCTGGCATGGATTTGCAGGTTCTGCCCCCACTTTGTTCTGGACTCCTCCTACCAGAGGGGGCAGTCCCTCTCTCTCTCTCTATCCACTACCTACTGTCCTTTGTTCCATCAAGCCAATGGGATGAAAGCTGAAGGAGTCAAAAGGGTTTACCGATGATGATGCTGGGGGAGCCCTGATTGAAGAAGCAATTGATTCTTTCCAGCCTGTTTATTTTCAATTCACTTGTGGGACGTGGGCATCGCTGGCTGGCCAATATTTACTGCCCATCCCTCGTTGCCGTTGAGAAGGTGGTAGCGAGTTGCCTTCTTGACGCTGAAGTCTACATGCTGTGGGTTGACCCACAATGCCCACAGAGGGGGAATTCCAGGACCTTGACCCAATGACAGTGAAGAAATGGTGATATATTTCCAATTCACAGTGACGAGTGGTTTGAAGGGGACTTTGCAGGGGTTGGTGTTCCCATGTATCTGCTGCCCTTGTCCTTCTGGATGGTAGGGGTCATGGGTTTGGAAGATGCTGTCTGAGGATCTTTGGTGAATTTCTACAGTGCATCTTGTAGATTGTACGCACGGCTGCTACTGAGCGTCGGTGGTGGAGGGAGTGGATGCTTGTGGATGTGGTGCCAATCAAGGGGTTGCTTTGTCCTGGATGGAGTCAAGCTTCTTGAGTATTGTTGGGGCTGCACTCATCCAGGCAAGTGGGGAGTATTCCATTACGCTCCTGACTTGCGCCTTCTAGATAGTGGACAAACTTTAGGGAGTCAGGAGATGAGTTACTTGCTGCAGGATTCCCAGCCTCTGACCTGCTCTTGCAGTCAATGCATTTATATGGCAAATTCAGTTCAGTTTCTGATCAATGGTAACCTCCAGAATGTTGATAGTGGAGGATTTCATGATGGTAACACCATTGAACATGAAGGGGTGACGGTTAGATTCTCTCTTGTTGGATACGATCATTGCCTGGCATTTGTGTGGCACAAATGGTACTTGTCACTTGTCACTTGTCAGCCCAGACTTGGATATTGTCCAGGCTTGCTGCATTTGGAAAGGGGTTGCTTCAGTAACTGAAGAGTCACGAGTGATGTTGGACATTGTGCAATCATCGGGGAACATCCTCACGATGAAGGGAGGTCAATAGCAAATGTTGCTTATATACAGTGAGGGCCACTGGAGGAACTTATGTTTTAAAAAATCACCACCGTAAAGGAATTGACCTGATCAGCCATTCTTTTGTCTTCACCCTGTTTGTGAGATCTTGCTGTGTACCAATGGGATGCCTAAACAGCAACAGAGAATGTTGTTTTTATTTGATGGCAACATGTTTTGGGACATCTCCTGATGATGCAGCAAGATGTTACGCAATTGAAAATTCTTTGTATTCCTTTAATCACTGCAACAGAGAACAGAATAAGCGATCATAAGACTGTAATGTTGATTATTTCAAAGGGATTATTATTCTTGAATCGTAAACCTACGGTAATGAAAGCTTTCATGTATCTGAAACAGCTTCTCTGTATCAAGTGTGAAGAACATCTAAGAGGTAAAACTTTTTAATGCTACTTCTTCAAATGATAAAAGGCTTCTGAAACTCAATGAGATAAGTAATTGCTTA